GAGTTTACAATGGACAAGAAATGTCATGGGAAACTCTAAGCTTATTTTTCTCAGCTTCTTCTCCTGTGTCCTGTGGTACAGCGTAAAGCAATGGAGAGGTAAATGTGGCTGCTGTGTATTTGTGTTGATGAATTCTTTTGTGTTTGACAATATGTTTCTTTTTGCAGGTGAAGGAATTTTTGAGCACATTATAATCCTCTTTGAAGCACAGACGGGGCCAAACTGTTCCAAACATCTGTGTGATCAAAGTCTGAAGTAAAACTTCTGCTTTTATATAATGCCTCTGGAGAGGCAGGACTCAACTCTTTTGAATTAGTTGAGAGAAACAAACAAACTTTGTGGATAGAGAAATTATTAAATAAATTAGTAGATCTATTCAATATTATGCCAAGTAGTACGGACAGATTGTGAACATATTAGAGTCCTGAGAGCTACTGGATATTCTGGCTGTTTATTAATCAGACCAATAAGTTCTTCTGGAGTATTTTACTGTATTCTTTTTTTTTAATTTATTTTGTGCCCAATAGTTATTTAGTTTTCAAGAATATAGTGGGGTTTTTTGGATCTCTTGTGAAGTATTTTAGTGGAGTTGACTTGTTTCTTATGTCTTATTTTCTGAGGAAGAAAACATAACAAAACGTCGCTGGTGAGGGAATTTTAATATAACCAGGAGTTTTATATTACAAGGTATATAAAAAGTCATCTAACAGTTTTGATAGGTGAAGTTTGCAGAATGCACTGAACTGAAACAAATCCAAATGTCTGGAATGCTGTAGATGTGGAATTTTTATTTTAATCTATGTTTTCATTTTGCACTGCAAGATAGGATATGAAGAGGCTTTCAGTTCTCTAGCATGTGTTGGTTTTTTTTTCCCCTCAACTCTTCATAATATAGAACTGGTTTTGGTTGTTGGTAAGTTCCTCTTTTCCTGTAGAGGAGTGTGGTTCTCATGCTGCAAATGAAAGAAGAAAATCTTGTGGATGGTGATCATCTCGAAATGAACTGTTTCTAAACGTTTGCTTAACCAATTTTTGAATGTCAGTGGCTTTCTGCTTCTTCATTTGTTTGCTGGCTGTTATACATAATACTGCAATTTTTGGTATAGGCGGTCCTTAGCCATCATCTTGTGGTAAGAAGGGGAGAACTTTGTGGAGTAACTGTTCTAGTGCATTTTGTTTCATTAACTGAGTCGTTTTTGTTTCAGATATAGAAAATATAAACTCTACAGGATGTGAATCTTTAGTGTCTTATGTGCTATTTTCTGCAGCTCTAGACACTTCTGAGTGATTGCACAGTTGGCTTTTGAATGCAATACGTTCATTGTATGTAAAGCATTTTATTGTCTGTTGTGACACCTGTGTAACTTCCTTATTTGTGAGGAGACTTCCTCGTTTGTCATTGGAATTGTGCTAGCGTTCTCCAGCTGTTGACTGAAAAATAAAAATGGTTGGAAAGACTTTTTTGACGTTTAATATTGTTAGCTCCCTGTCTCCTAAGGCAAATGGTGTAGGTTGTTGGTTTGTAATAGTAGTACCATGCATTAATTTGAGATGATGTATGCTTGGAGTGTTTGGAGTGTTTACTAATATTTCTGTTGCACTGTGACTGGCTTCAGGTTTTTTCTTGTGTGGGAATTAATGGCTATGGGATAGAGGTACAGGATTGTATGAAATGTATCATATGTGTATTTCCTGACTGGTGGGAGTGTTTTGTGTAATATGTTCCTGATAGCAGTGTATAGCAGCATTATGGTAGAAGTACTGTTTGTGACTTCCAGATTGTCTGCTAAAGAAGAAGGATTATTGGATTGAGGTGAGTGAAGACTCAGTTCAGATTTACTCGAAACACAACATTTTAAAGCATTCTTGGCAGCAGTCTAAATGGTAACAACTTATTTTGATTAACAGTGCAATTCTTCCTGCTGTTTCAGCTGTCAAATTCTTGGATTTAATTACAGGAATTGGAATGACAGTGCTCATTTAAGGGAGTAAACGAGTTTGAGTTCTTATAAAGACTTCTTTCAAACCCATCACAGAGTGCACACATGCTCTGTGGCAGCTTGTCTGCATCCCATTCCAGAACACTTTATGTAATCTCTCACTGCCAAGTTTGAGTTTGAAGGAGCAAAGTCATGACCAATTACTAGAATGTTTTTAATTACTGTGAACAAGATTTAAAGAAACAAACAAAAGAAACCCAGCAGCATTGAAGTGGATCGAAGTGTGAGAAGCTACAGTTATTTGTATGTAGGACAGATGCAGCATAAACAAAAGTGGCAGTGTGCGTACTCTGTTCTGTCTCTGCCTTGGCTTAAGCCTCACAGCTCTGACAGTAACTCAGATTTTTGAATTTGTTAGGTCTATTTTCTTTCCCTATACTTTAAGCCAGCCACAAAATAGAATTGATGTGTTATTTTTTTTGCCCGTTAGAGATAAGGAAGGTTATTGAACTGATATCTGCTGTTCGGCAATGGTGTTTTTTTCAGTGTTTGAGTACTCTCCCCCTTTCTTGTTCCCCTGGGTAAGAGATACTTTGATGGAGCTGTCTAAAAGTGCCTGCTTGTTTTAACCCAGTGTCCTTATGATTAGGAAACAAAATTGGTATGTAGGTTTTATGGTTTTTTCTCCAATTAAGATACAGATTCAAATGTTGATGGGTGGTGTTACAATTGCTGTGCAAGTACTTATGACTAATGAGCACAGTATTGCCTCGTATTTTGAGTCCTTGCAGTTGCTTTCTGTACAGTGGGGATTCTAACTTCTCTTAATATAAATGCTGCTTGTAGCAGCAGTCAGTTTTGTAGATAGAACTTAGTTAACTGGCACATTATTGTAAATTATAAATCAGTAGAAATAATTCTTTCTACTGATTTATAATTTACTTAAGCAGAACTCATCATAATGAAGTTGTATGTAGACTATGGTTAATGTTGAGATGATTATGTTATTTTTCCTGCAGTTAATAGCTCCAAAAATCTACTTGTGAAATGGAAATGAAGGTCTTTGCTATGAGCTATTAAACATAGACTGGGGAAGAATGTGTGTTGAAGTCGTGTATTATAGCTGGGACAGTGGAGAGCAGGGGAGTACACTTGCTATTTCCAGGTTATTTTAGCAAAGATAAGTAGAGAGACTCCAAAACTGTTTTTTCCAGCTCCCTTTTAGACTCTGCATGATCTAGAGTAAATCACTCTATGTTAGTCTTTTCATCGTTAAAATATTGATATCTCCTTATCCCTTCAAAAGGCTATGAGGATTAGTTAATATCGATGTGCTGTTTTGTAGGTCAGAAGTGCTCTATTAAGTAATCAAGAATGAATGTCAGCCTATTTTTTTTTTAGACTTTTCAGTGGGTTGTTTTGATTCCCTCAAAAAGGGGCCAGTGGCCGCAGTTCATGCGTGACCTGTAGAAATTGTATTAAGTAATGTAAAAGCCATCAGTGCAACATCTCCTGGGTTAAAGTTGGTTCACTAAAAAACATGGCTGCTGAAAACTGGCACTGTTGGTCCAGAAACTGTTACTACAGATTTAATAATGAAACAAAAACAGCTGTCAAAATCTTTGCTGTAGTCCACGTAGCCAGTAATGGTGATGGTGATGCAATTGTGTAGTTATGCACAGAATTTGCCACAGGAGGTCATTCTATCCTCAGATCTCTCTTGCTGAGCTGGCTGCAGGGATAGCGTTGGTGTTTTAACATTGAATGGCTTTGGAAAAGTTAAAGAGGGAAAAGACCACTTTTTTTTTTCTTTGCAAGAGCAAAAGCATTAAACTGATTAATAAATACACTACTGCATGACATAAATCCTGATCTCTGTAGGGAGGGGAATAAAGCAAGCCTCTGTTGGATTAAGTAAAAGACTCTAAAAGGCTGATCTAATGGGAAGGGTTTTGACATGAGAAGGTCTTTCGTGCAGCCACCAGCTGTTTTTGTTCTGTGAGTGAATATTAGCACATGGATAACACTAATCCTGCTGTGCCTGAGTGATAACATCTTCTAGTGTTGAACTGTCAGGCCCAGATGCAGGCAGTGAGCAATACAAGTGTTGTTGGTGTGCGGGGGAAAATAAAGCAACTGAGAATTCTGCTGAAGCCGTGTTTATTACTTAATGTACCAAATACAAGCCTGAAGGTGTCCATGGCTGCTCAGAAATTCTGACTGAAATCAATTAGTGACAAAGAGCATAGATTGTGTGCTGAGCATAAGCAGACAAGTGATTAAATTATGTTACCTTAGGTAACTAGGTAACTATTCTGCTAGCGTGTACAATCAATGTAATGCACAGAGGGTAAAATCTAGGCTCCTGGGTGTAGATGACTTGTTCTTAGGTCAAGGTCTCAGTCCATGAATATAGCCAATCTGACAGCAGCTACTCCAGTTCTTACCATGTATGTCTGTTAATACTACTGACAGACTATGGAAAGGGCACGTGGTTTCTGAGAGCTGTTTACAAAGATGTTCCCATTGCAGTTCATTCAGAACACTTTCCTAGCTTTTTCTGCAATTTTTCTTCCTGCGTTTTTTGCTTCTCTTTCCAATTTAATTCTGAGTTGTTTTGATTTGTCTTTTAATAGCCATCAAATGCATTATCTTGTAAAGGCTTTAACAAAGGTGCTTAATTTCACTAGTTTGCAGCCCATCTGTGGATGGAGCTTTGCTGCTTTTCCTGTTCTCTGTCTAAGGTATCCTAGTCCTTTCTCTGTGCATTTCTCCTGTCAGCACAGCTGATTGCTGAGGCTTCTAGTACTTTTTCATGGCTTCAGCCCTGTCTATGGATATGTGCTGACAATGTGCCCTTGTTTTCCGTGATTATCTTCACATTTTACTCCACTAGTTTCTTCAAAACAATAGCCATTGCCCTCTAATAAGGTCTCGCTGCACCTTTGGCTTTGTCCTCTCTGTGGAGTTAGCTGGTGGCCTTTACCCTGACTCTCCCAGCTGAGTACAGTGGCCTCAGGTCATTGACTTGTTTTATTGCGGCAGACTCCTGGTCTGCTTTGGCTGCCTGTTTCCTGTCCATGCTGCACCTCGGAAGGAGAAGACATGCTGTAAAAGAGTAAACCTTACTTTTTAGGTATCTGCTCCTGATCTGTTCCGGCGCTTGTTTCATGAGGGTGTATTGCATTGCTCCATGGTAGTCAGGTAGGTATTTCATGTGTGCTTATCCATGTCAACAGCTGCTGTGCTGTCTCTGCTTTTTCATCGTCTGGAGGAAAGACATCAAATCCACTGACTTCCAGCTTGTTTTACCTGGGGTTTCTGGTGCAGTGTATGGTGGCCACAGTCTAACTGCAGTGTTTTGGTATTCTGAACGATAGGCTTGCTGTCTCTTTTGACAAAGGGACGTGGCTCTGTTCTGTGGAACCGAGCAGTTTTAGGTCTTTGGAGAACTAACCAAGAATCCTTGAGGCTGGGAAATTTTTCTTGGACTTTCTATTTTCATTGTGCCTCGTGCTATTGTGCATACACTTACAATTGGCTTTCCATACTTAATGAACACCTCTACTGTGCTTACACACTCAGGTGTGGAGTACACACTGATCTTACTCTCTGAGCTTTTACCAGCTATAAGGTATTTATTCTCTGTCCTCCTTGAACTTAATCACAGCTTAAGCACGAGTCTTGCCTTTTGCCCAGAGAGGAGACACCTAAGACACCATGGCATGGTATATGCTCTAAGTTATTTCTAATTATATCTACTAAGTCTTAAGGGTTTATCACATACTTAGGCTTGTGTGATACACTTAGAATCTTGATCATATTTGTAGTTATTCAGCTCATTTAAGTAATGGCTTCTGATGTCTTTTAATTACATATTTAGTGTATGCATCCAGTGAGGCTGAAAGAATTTGGGCTAGAGATGAGTCACTAACTGTCTGAAAGTTTCCTTTTTTTCTAGGGCTGCTGACCCATGATAGACTCAAAGTAATAGTGCATCTTGGCTTTATGTTTTATTAACAGTGTGTGCTTACCCGTTGCTCTCAGACGAGAACATCTCCAGCATCTAGTTGTGTTTTTGGCTTTAAATACAGCTGTTAGTAGTGCTTTTGGGGTTGCTTTTACAATCCATCTGGAATCATATTGCCAGTAGGTCAGAAAGTATTGCTAAAAGCGTAGTAATTCTCTGTCAGCTTTCTGTGGAGCACAGAACGAAGGTCTCCAGGTATGCTGAAGTTCCTCTGCAGAACCTTCCTTTTTGTCACTTTCTGTCAAGGGTGTTTTCTGTCTCTGCGTGTGTTGATCTGATTTTGAGGTTTTTTTGTTTGCTCGTTTTTCTGCTGTGCTGATCTCTAGCTCTGGATTATAACCTGATTCTCTTTCCTGTGTATCACACTGCTGCCAATGGAATGAATCTTTTGCATTTCATTTACAGAAAACAGCATATACATTAGATGGTAATACTACTTTTCTCTGTGACTTTACCTCCTCCTAAGCTCCTCCTGTTTGAGCCTGTATTTTTAGGGTCAGCTACAATACTGACAATTACAATACTGATCCTTGTGATGGATAGCTGTAGCTGCTTTAGGTATTGAAAAACATTTCTGTAGAGGATCAAACCTTTTCCTACCACATTCCTTGCTGGCTGGAGTAATGCGTTCATTGAATGATCATTTTTCATTAAGAAATACTAAAGGTTGTGAAATCGCATTCGGGTACCAGAATTCTCTGCCTCTTAATTTAAGTAGGGATTTCTACTAGTGTTTCTTCAGTTGTGCTTTCCTTTTGTGTGCTTGTTGGTTGTTTTTCTTTTTTTTACTGTTTGTTGTTTGGTGGGGTGAGCTGTCAATGTTTTCCTATAAGTCTGTACAGCTTTTTCAGGGAGTACTGTGTTGATCAAAAACCCTAGGTAACTTGTCTGAGTATTTCATGTATTTAATGCATTGCTCTGTGTAACGGTGTCTCTTTTTTCTTCTATTTCCCTCTCTACTTTTGTAGAGAGGCTTTATTTCTTCAATATGGTCTCCTCTGGCCAACTGGTGTATGAATTGGCATAGAATGTTCTTAGCAGGGTTTTTCTTAACATCCCGCCTTTCTGATACATTTTTAGAAGTTAGTTGCTTGAATCCCATAAATGTGATCAGATAGCATATGATACATTAGATACTCTGGTATCTAAGTAACTTGAAAGGGCTCCTAATAAAATGCAATTGGCATTGTTTATTTACTGAAGAACCTCAACTGCAGTTCAGTTTCTTAGGGCTGTGCACACAAAATACCGTTTTATGTCTTGCTTTTTTTTTTTTTTTTTTTTAGCTCAGTTGAAAGAGAAGAAAAAAAAAAGACAAAAACCAAGGGTGAAAACGTTACTTATTGGCAGAAATTATTTAATATAATTTGTTTCTCTGTTGAAAATGATTCTCTGCATCAACCCTGCAGCCTTCTTCAAGAACAATGCCAACAGTTTGGGAGCTGCTGCGACCCATGATGTCAATATAATGTTCATCTTTGTTTTTCAGTGCTGTTTTTTACCCATCATGGTTATGTGGTTCTTTTTTTTTTTAATGGAAACTGTAAGCTTTTTATAGAATGAACTTGAATCTGCAATCAGAACACAAAATGTTAGTATTCAGAATTTCTTGGTTTTTGCTGTGGCTGTTACTGATAGTATGTGGTCTTGTATGGATCCCTTTTCAGAGAATGAGTCATTGGTAGCATCTGTACTGCTGATAGCAACAAGGGCCTTATCTTTTGTTCTGTGTTTTCAACCTTTTATTTGCTATATGAATGGTAGGGGTGCATTGAAGGAGCCAGAGGGAAGTTCTTGGTTGCTCTTTAGAACAGTGAGTTGAGATAGGTGTTACAAGGAAGTTTTGTTATAAGCCTTGACATAGTGAATGCACTGATATACTTGTAATGAAGAGTAAGATATGAACAGATGAGTAGAATATAGCTTTTAATCTGGTAAGATGTGATGCTAGCAGGAGCCGAGATATCCCTAAACAAAGGTTGATGGTGCAAAAAAAAAAAACCATATCTGGGAAATGTGAAAGATGGTAATACTTAAACACTTGCTTGAAAGTTGTCAATACAGAAAACAGGGACTGCTCTTAAAAGTTCTGATACAGTTTCTGCAGATTTTTGTCTGCAGAGGCAGAAATTTAAGAACTCTGGAAAATAAGAATGCTTCAAAAAGCAGTGCAGTCAGTCCCAGTAGCAGGGGTTCAGATAACGACAACCAGGTGCTCTGTGTCTGTACTCAAGAAGAAGAAGAGTGACTGGGAGACGTTTGCTGCTGATATGTGGTTGATAATCTCTGCCCTTCATGAAAAAGGGGAAGGTGAAAAATGTGTGAATTGACAAGTACCTGTAGGTTTAAGAGCTTTGGTGCAGCATGAACAGGGTGGGTAAACATGTAACAGGTGGAATGGAGGGAAAGACTGATGAGTGCAGTCTTTTGTCTGCAGTATTGGCTACTGCTAAGGATAAATCAGAAAATTAGTCTGGTTCAGGCTGAACTTAAATAAGCTAACATGAGAACCAACCTGGATTTAAACCATTTTGTGATGAATCCAATTTTGTCCTAGCTTGCAAGTCTAGACTATTTCCTTGGAGTTCAGTAAATCCCATGTACTCTCTTTTGGTACAGGTCTAATTATGTTATGCAAGGTATTATGCATATAAAGCATTCTTTATAGAAAAAATCTGTAGGCTTGCAAATGTCACAGAGACTCCTTTATGCAATAATTTGTCTCAATATTGCTTAAAGTGCTTCTGTTTGATCCCACAGATCGGAGAGGTGGACAGATGTTGAAAAGGGAGATAGTCATATGGTAGAACTGGCTTACTTCTCATTGATATGGCTTTTGCAGTTTTGCTCATTTGGCAGCAAATGAGAGGTAAGAATAAGATGCCCCTGACTAAACCTTTGGCTCATACTCAGCCTCACTTCAAAATAATTTCATTAAAATCAAACCAGGAAGCAGAGACCATAGATAGAGGTGGAGAAGCTTTCAGTCCTTACAGGAAATAGCTGCTCTAATCCAGGATGAGATTGAAGTATTTGCAGGCTAGTTCTGAGATAGAGTATTGCTAAATGGAAGCCATTAAGATCACTGTAGCATGTGAAATGCATCTGGATTCTTAGGGAAAAAATAGTCGTGTGACTTGTACACAGTATTTGAGGCTAGTGGGGCTGTACTGTGAGCAGCACAACAAGCATGGCTTCTGTTTTAACTAGTCCATATGCTGTGGAAATTCTTTCGGTTGAACAGCAGTGTTTCATCAACTTGCTTCTGTTTTGCAAAAGTAATGAGATAATTATATCCACAGCATAATATTTTCTTGTTCTTCAGTAGCCAAAATGAGGGCCCACGATGCATGATAGATTTTAAGTTTGTGGACTAGCCATTCTTAGCAGTGGCTTGCACTGCATAACTTACAGGTGTGATAGTATGTTCTTACAGAATGAATGTGAGCGTACTGACAGAGTGCTTGCTTTCCTAAGCCTTTTGCAGATCCTTTAGAAATAGTCCCTGAAAAGTCTGCAGCCTATGAATCGGGAGTTCCTGTTGTAGACAACTATGACTAGTTCAGCTTTTTTGAAGGGAAGAGGTGAACTGAGTAGGAAGTGGTAGAATTAGTAGTAATTTTTACTGTGCATGTTTAAAATTTTAGCAGCCTTAAACAGGATGTGGAACAAGTGAGTAGTTTAGAAACATCTTATTTTAATGCCCTAAGGGAGTTCCAAGAAGAGGTGAAATGTTGCAGTCTATGTAAGCCAAGTGTAGCATGTATGTGCTACCTATGTATATTACCAATTAAACTTGCATTTTATGAGCTTGAAAATTTCATGTATTTGTAAAGGGAACATGGTATTTTATTACAGTAACAAAGCTGAGCTTGAAAAAATAATTTTGAAACCTTTATCAAAGTTTGTTTAATTGGTTTTTCAAACCTAAATTAAGACATTGACTCTTACTGTCACCTGCTAACATGATTGAACGTGGCCAAAAGAAGTAGTATTGGCCTCCCACTTAGAGAAGATTAAATAGAGGCAGTGTGTAAATTGTTCTTTTCTCTGGTGTCCAGGTCAGATGGGGAAATGAACAAAATCTGTTTTGGACTTGGGATTTTGCTGTGGACTGTGCTGTGCCCTTCACTGAACCAAGCAAGGTGTGGGAATGGGCAATGATGTGGATAAA